CAAGATTTCCATAAACACATTTGTAATTTATGATAGAACAGCTTTTAGTTTGGTGTTGTAGACAAGTACTAATTACAAAGTTGAATGTAATCTCGACACAGGCTCGTGCAAAGCCGGGAGCTGCAGCAGGCGCAGGAACTCAGAGCGTTTTGAGAGGGAAGCCGACCGTTTCTTGGAGGTTGAAGACATGTTGATGCCGCTGAGTACTGAGGGAGGTTCTTTGGAAGACATTGCTGGCCTGCATGAGGTCAAGCAGATCCTACGGGAGGCGGTTGTGATGCCTATGCAGTATCCCCAACTGTTTCAAGGTCTTATTACTATTACTGTTATTGTTGTTATTATTATTATGAAAGGAATATGAGAACTTGTTAGTCTTTTTTTTCTTTCCCTTAGCCTTCTCTCAGTAGATGTATAACAGTTTCTCATTGTCTATTTTATTGTTATTATTATTCAGTAGATGTATAACAGTTTCTCATTGTCTATTTTATTGTTATTATTATTGTCTTTCTGAAAATTTATTTATTTATTTATTTTTTAACTGGAACTCTTCCCCCAGATGGTGCTAAGCCATGGACACGTCTCCTGCTCTATGGTCCTCCAGGAACAGGGAAGACTGTCTTGGCTCGAGCACTGGCTTCTGAGCTACAATGTCCTTTCTACTGTGTTTCGTCTGCCAATCTACTCTCCTCGTGGGTCGGGGAGTCAGAAAAGTGAGGAGATACAGTTTATTGTCGTCATCATCTTCAGCTTCATCGTCAGTTGACATTGTCATCGTCACCACCACCACTACCACCATTATCATCATCATTTTGTCATCATCTTTATCACAGTGGAGATATGATTTATCATCATCATTATCATTACAACTGTCATTATCATTGTCTTCATTACCACTATCATTATCATATTTTCTGGCGTTTATTTGACAGTGCTATAATATTTCTTGATATAATCATAAGAAATAAATACTCATAAGAAATAAATACTCAAATGGATAAAAATCACATCCCCTAACTCTTATATTGATGTAATTGATACTATTAAGACGACTATATGTTAATAATTATAAATGACCTATACATAATGTTCCAAATTGATGAATCTCATCTGTTTCAGGCTTATAAGAGAATTATTCCATCAAGCACAAAGTCACTCTGGCCAGTGTGTCATTTTTATTGATGAAATTGACAGTTTGTGCAGGATTCGCTCACAGATGGAAGATGAACATTCGCGCAGGTTTGTTTGTTTTTTAATTATAAAATTGCTATTTTCTTTATGGATTTTTGCTAATATCGAGTGGAACAGATCACCCTGAATATGAAAATCACTAGTTTTTCATCATCTCTCTGTTATTATTTTGTATATTCCTTTAATAGAGAGAAAAAAAAAAATAACTAGCTATTTTTAAATTCGTAATTCCCTTTTTGCCTGACTAGGGTGAAGACAGAGTTACTGCAGCAGATGGAAGACATAAAGAGGAATGGGAGGTCGTCTGTTTTTGTGATGGGAGCCACCAACTGCCCTTGGGACCTCGACCCAGCTTTCCTCAGGCGGTTCCAGAGGAGGGTCTATGTTCCTCTCCCCGACAGGTAGGGTTAGGTGTGTGAGTGCAGTGACTATATGGCCCCCAGCCGACAGCTCAAAAAAAAAAATTCAGCTTTCCCCAAGGGCAAATTATTATTATTATTATTATTATTATTATTATTATTATTATTATTATTATTTTAGTTTTGAGAGTACTGTTTTATGCACCTAATGTTTTTTTTTTTTTTTTTTTTGATCAGGTATGTGTGTGTGTGTGTGTGTGTGTGTGTGTGTGTGTGTGTGTGTGTGTGTGTGTGTGTGTGTGTGTGTGTGTGTGTGTGTGTATGTGTGTATGTGTGTATCTCTGTGTCTGTGTGTGTGTGTGTGTGTGTGTGTCTGTGTCTGTGTCTGTGTCTGTGTCTGTATGTGGCTGTGGCTGTGGGGGTGGGAATAGGCAGCCAAAGGAAAAGGGATGATTTTCTACACCAGAATAAGTGTTCCTCATGTTCATATTAAATATTTACAACAAGGAAGAATCAAGGTAGACAATAGGCTGGGCAGTGCTAGCATGAGGTGGACAGGAACAAATGGCCAAAAGTAGACAGCCATAATTTTGATGATAATATCAAATATATACAAGATAAAGTTCAGGACAAATACCCAAGCAGTAGGGTGGGCACGAGTGAAACAGGGTTAACTCTTGCACTGATATTAGAGGGGTTTAACATGAGGGAGCACTAATAATCGACTAAAAAGAGGGGAGAAAATGGTCTGTGTCTGGGGGGGGGGAGGGATTTTTAGTATGGCAAATCCTCATTAAATATTTGAGATGACAACAAAATATGACAGGTAATTTTCAAAGTTCTCTTTAACACCTGCTTTATTGCCACACAGCTTATAGGCTATATTTCAGAGTGGTATCAATTGATACCATTTGGCCTTTGGCTCCTCATCCCCCCAAAAAAAGAAAAATCTAATGATAACTTGGTTTTATTTAATGGATACGTTGCCCTTTTCGTATTTCTCTTTTTTTTTCTATTTCCTAATAATTTGCTTCTCGGTGCCTGTTTATTTTCATGTTCTGTCTATTCTAATTCCGCCCTGTTCGACTGGCAAAAAGGTACTGAAATTGCTTATAAATTATTTGCCTCTCGTTCTGTTATTCTTTTATATTTAATAAGCAGATATTGTACTGCCAAAAAGTGAAAATGTTATGATTTAGAAGAGTCTTGTCACTAATGTATTTAGTACAGTATTATCATCAGTATTATTTCTCTCCCTTTTTTGATAGAGGTTAGGCACAAATTGAATTGGGTTGATTTCATTACTGTTGTAGTTGTTGATTATTTTGACTTCAAAATTCTAGAACAATTGATATTTTGTCACTACCTTTCCCCCTTCCTCCCCATTTTATGTATCTGTGTAATAGTTTAGTGTCTATCTGTGAATCTTTCACAGTGTGTCTCTTTGTATAAATATCTGTAGACCGATATTAAAACATTTTTTTTTTTTCTTTCTTTCTTAGGGAGAGTCGCCGAGCAATAATTTCTAGCCAGTTCAAGACGGCACCCCTAGATCTTACTGATCCAGAGTGGACGAATCTCCTGGACACCACGGAAGGTTTCTCGGGTGCTGATCTCACACACCTTGCAATGGCCGCTGCCTTCTTCCCCATCAGGGAACTGCAGACGTCTCGCTTCTGGAGGTTTACTCATGGTGTGTGGGGAAGTTATTATTTGATGTTTCTTAGTGCAATGTGGTGATTTTACATGTATCCACTTCATTATATACTTATTTAAATTTATAACTGTGTCTGCTATGTATGTATGTATCTGGGTATGATATCAGCAAACCTTTCCTTAAGCTGTAGGTGCAGTTTTATCCTATAAGATATTCTACTATGTTAATTTATGAATTTCTACCCTTTGATAGAAATTGTACTTATCATTTCTAAACAATTTGCAAATTAGAATTCACGTGTTCTTAATGACTTAAAAGTCTATATGATCTTTCTCATTTAACATAAATTAGATTTTTTTTACCCAGGGAATCTGTCTGGAGTACAATTTAATACATCAATATGATGATGCTATCAGCATGCTTGTATAGGAAAATGTATTAGTGTGCTGTATATCAATATGCTTGGTAAAACTGCAATCCTGAAGGCATATTTCAAGGAAACCTAATTTATATAACACAAGGTTCAAGCAACTAGGGTTTCAGAGTCAAACATTTGTGAACAGATTTTAGAATTCATACTATTATGAATTACAATTTCCCGATTTTCCAGGTGTTCTGTACCCTTACAAGAAATATGACACCAAGCCATCATGTCTGTCTGATGATTGATTCTTAAATTTCTGCTACCTTTTTAACCCAATCACGACAGGAGTCCCCTGTGCCATACTAAACAACATGTTGGGGTGTTTGCAGAGTTAGCTGCACAAAGGAAAAATTATAAGCATGAGAAATATTAGATTAATATGCACTCTGATCTTGCCTGTTCTATAAATTTTAATTATTTTGTAGATGATGATGCTGAGAAGAGGCTGGAATCCCACTTTTGAACAGCTATTTCTTCTCAGCAAATGTAGCTAGGACTGAATAACTGGACAGCTGTTTAGTGTGCATAACTAAGAGGAGACTCCAGTGCACATGAGAAAATGTGGGAATGTGGCATGTGGGATGGTCTTCCATAAGATGATGGGACATGGGATGATGTGCTATGATGTCCAGTTACATCATGGTAAATCACCCATCACATGTTTGGGTCATGTCTATGTTGAGGAGAAATATCCCCTCAAAAGTAGGCTTGTAGTCTCTTTTTAACATCACTACTTAAAAATTGTTTATTCTACAGCCCTGGGACCTTGATTAGGTGTCAGTAGATTGAATACTGAATTGTCTTTACTTTTACACATTTTCGTTTTTTGATCAACCTAAGCTAGTTTTCTTAGCATCATAGGATTTGATATCTTTACCTAGTTCATGCAAAGGACAATACAACTTTCATGTATTTTTGATACAGACATCCCATATGTATTATGTGTCAGAAGTCAGTCTAAGGTAATAATATACAGATAGCTAGTTTCTTGTCAGGTATTTTGTAAATTATTGAAAAATGATACAGAATTGGAGTATAGATATAAATAAGACTACTTACATCTTTAAGGATGAGACTGGACTTGAACTGCAAAGAATGGTTTGCTGATCAGACAAAGCATATGAGTTGTGATGCCACTGTATATCTACATATATCTATGGTTAGGCTGATATATGTTTGTTCATATTTTGTTAAGTAATTTTCAATTTTTCTCCCTTTGTTTTTAGATAATAAAATCACCCCCTGTTCAAGTGACACCCTCGGCTCCATGCAGTATCCATTGAGTAAGCTCCCGGCAGACAAGGTAATGTAGGATTTCTCAAGGAGGTTTCATCACTTCCATTTCTTATACTTTTATGTTTCTGTATAGCAGTCCTTAGTGAACATACATAGGTGACATAACTCAGCAATGATGGTGAAATCCGGTCTGGTTTCTTGATAGCAACATTGAAAATTTATATCTGCCCTACTTTTCCAGCAAACCTATTCAAATTGTAGGTTTCATTTCATTGTATCGTATACATGATGTTTAACTGTAAAATACATTCATGTTCGCAGGTTATAGCTCGTCAAGTAGAGCTGAAGGATTTCATCTCAGCCTTGCAGACAACGCCACGCACAGTCTCGCCCAAGGTTGTTCAACAGCACAACGAGTTCTCCATGGCATCCAGCCATAGTTAGGGCTCTGAAGCTTTCCTGATGTTGCTCCTTTTCTTTCTTCCAAGAGATTTCTCTATAGTATATTGGAAGTTTATGAATTTTCTATTAAGAAGAAAATAAAGAATTACTTCATGTGATTACTAGTCAGAATAGAAAATACAGCCAATTATTTTGAAAATGTTAATTTTCAGTAGGTATATGTATATATACTGTTATTGAATTTATTTCTTCCTTGTAAAGGAAGCATTATTATGAAAGCTGTCAAGCTTGCTCATATATTTTGTAAATATATTTTTCTTTAAAAAGAGAACATTTTCCATTATATAGGAAGATGATATTATTATGTGTGATATAGTTTAAGGGAGATGGATATCGAGAAATTATTTTTACCCACATCCAGTTTGAGACGTGCTGAACTGAATAAAATGAGTCTTAGTTCTTGCACTAAACTTGTGAGGTGGTTCACTTTGATTTGTATGGTTGTCAAGCCTTTAGAAACATTTCAGATAAGATATATATATATATTTTTTGTATTTTCCACTTTATTATGTTGTCTACTTTTCTTTGTTACTAGAACTTTGATTGAATTATCTTCATTCTCATGTTTTCTTTTCTTCTGTTACACATTTAATAATTAAAGTGATGACTCATTTTGCTTGATTATTTTCTGCTCTTGAAACTCACCTGAATTTAAATACTTTTGCGTGGGTGTAAAACATATGCAGATGAACATGCATAAGTACATGCATGCACATGCACACTCGCATGCACACTCACAGACACAGACATACAGACACTGACATACAGACACTGACATACAGACACTGACATACAGACACTGACATACAGACACTGACATACAGACACTGACATACAGAGACACACACACACACACACACACACACACACACACACACACACACACACACACACACACACACACACACACACACACACACACACACACACACACTCACACTCACACTCACACTCACACTCACACACTCAGAACATGCACTCAAAAATATAGGTTAATCACAGTGATAAGCATAAGTATATTATTTTGTAATAGTGGAATGAATTAAGAAAAATAATTCTCAATTTCCTTTCTTTGTATAAGTTATGTAATGTGTATGGAGAAGTTCTTTTAATGGAACAGTTCTTATTGTTATTAATTGTCACTGCTATGTTAGTTAATATTGTGTTTCAATGTTTATTTTTTTTATTAATTTGTACAATAAGATGTTTACTTCTGTTTGCTGATTCATGTGAAGACATTTATTGAAAACAATATGTAGAGTGAAGCATATTTAGTTGATCTTAGTGTAAAATCAATTACTTTTGTTTTATATTTTGCAAAAGTGAGAAACTAACTTTGATTACATTTATTACATTTATCTGTGTATTGTCAGCAGTCCTTGATTGGAAACTATGATTTAGGATTGTCATGGATTTGGCATCTTACATTTTTTATACCCAAAAATATATACCAGACTCAAACAAAACAATGATACTGCTGTTGAAATGACTACAGAATCACAGAGGCTTTTTTTTTACTATGAATTCTTTTACATTTGGTTTTATGAATGCAATAATGTGGAAATATATCTGAAGATTCTTAGATTTGATGTGAAGGATTAAGGTACCATTGTTTTCGTTTTACATAAAATGTTGGAAAACTATTTTAGAGTCAAAGTCTGAACTAAAATTCATTTCATTTTTTCTAATTATAGCAATTTTAACTTACAATCACAGAAGAAAGTTTAGGTTAACTGTCCCAATAGCAAAGATTTAGGCAGTGTATTAGCTCAGAGGATCAAACCCGTTTCTTCTTGGTAATGTTGACTAATAATCTCTAAATGTCCATGTCAGAATGGGACATACATCTTATTTCACTCAAGCTTGATACTAGATAAATACGGTTAATCTTTTTAATTACTTCAGGATTTAAACATTTACTGGTTGATTTCTGTGTAGACTGTGTTTCATTTGATTTTTCTTGTTTGTTTGTCAATGATCTGTTACAGGAAAACTAGGGTCTGTGCCACATTGTCTAAGGGAAATGATTAATTAATATCTGCATATTTTTGTGACATTTTTAATTGGTATAGGTAAGAAAACAAACATTTACTATATTAGATTTTTAGTTCATTGTTGAAGAGTATTTCAAGAGAATATTTTTGTTTACCTAGTAAAATGAATTATCTAACTGA